ACAGTTAAAAAGCCATCCAATCTGAAGTCAGCAGGTGACACTATCAGGAGGAGTAGGCTTGGTGCAAAGAAGGAACCAGAAAGCAAGGAGAGGGGAGAGTTGTAAACTGTTTCCTTCAATCATCCTTTTAGTATTTATAAAGCAAGAAGACAAAAAATCAAAGTCAGATGCAAATAACTCCTGAACAGAAAGATGAACGTTTTCCTTGAGCATGCCATTCAGCTGATGACTAAGCCAGGTCTATTGTTTATGCAAAGAAAAATGCATAAATTCCCTTAACGATGCCATCTGTGTCTTTACCTTGGAGGCAGCACTGCCAGGCTTACTGATCTCCTCTGGATGGGCTTTATTACAGCCACTTGCATAGGAGCTGCCCTGCCTTGGGAGAAACATTTATTTGCCTGTTTTCAAAAATCACTTCAGCCACATCTACTCAAACAGATGAAGAGATGGATAGCTTTGTACAGTGCAATATAGTTCCTTGTCTTTTTCTGAAAACAGATGTGTTTTGACATACACATACTGTATGTTATGAAATAATGTTGCTTATCCCTCCTTCCTGGAAGAGGCTTTATATTTAGGGATTTCTGATAGTTTTGTCAGCCTCTCGCTGCAAACTAGCATCTCTTACCTGACACGTTTCTTGTCTTTACCCATGTGCTGTAATGAGCAGAACTGAGCTGGGAAGAGCAAATACAAGACAATATGCTTGTGGCATACAAACCATCAGCCACAAAAAAAGATAATTCAAGACTCAAGCTTCACCTTCAGTATCAGTGTGACACTGCCTGAAGCTGCAAGAGGATGGGGCGGGTGTGTAGGGGAGCAAAATTGCTGCCCCAGTCTCTTCACAGCCTCTGCTGGAGCCCTACAGGCTACGTAGTAACATCATTTGCCCTCAGGTTCACTGAAGTACATTTTGCTCTGAGCCCCACACCTTGGCCACTAGGAAGGCACCTAGCTCTGAGGAAAATCCCTGCCCTCATGCTTATCAGCTCCCCATTGTGTCTGTGGGCCAGGAGAATGCAAATCAAAAGATCAAGTGCTGGCTGCTGGTAGTCAAGGACGGGATGCCAGAACAGCTAGACTGCTGTCAACCCTCTCAGCAATGACTGCAGCCCCATGCACACATTTACCCCTGATAAATGAATAGCCCATATCCTCACACTGCAGATGGGTTCACAATACAGCATGAGAAACACAAGGGAGATAAGAAGGGCGAAGTGCTTGTTGTTGGAGGAAGCTGAGCTCCGCATCCTTGTAGCAACAGTGCACTCCCAGTTGAAGCCTGAGACTTTCTTGCCCTTTCCATACGTGAGGCACAGGACCTTCCCCTTCACACTAAGCAATCTTTTCTGTTTACCCATTGGCAAGCAACTCCCAGGCGGACTTTGGACAATCTAAGATAACAAACACTCTGCACTTGGCTGCACAAAGCTGTTTGGCCCCTGCCGAGTTAGGGAAGTCCAGGCATGAGACACACTGCTGCAGATTCTTGTGGTTTCCACTTCCACTGAAATACTCAGAGCTACATCAAACCCTATAAAACAACTTCGCTAACTGCTATCAGTTATCAGTATGCATTCCCGGGTTTGTTCTATCAGGTCAGACTGTCTGCTCCAGTGAAGGGAGTAAAGGGTTTGCAGGATGTTCCATTCCTACAGGCAGACTGCTGCATTGGTAACTGCTGTGTAGGGTCAGGCAGTTATCACCATGGTACCTCAACACCATACCTCCTGCCCATAGCGCCTGGTGCCCCTGGATGCTCAGCTACGTAAGACTCTGCCTCATCCAGTAGAACTGGTGAAATCAGCCCTTGGGTAATGCAAGGTACCAAATTATTTTTCTCTACCCAGCTCCTCTTAAAAAATTTTTTTTCCAACTATTTTTATGTATTTTCATTTTCTATCCCTCTAGCAGTTATTTTCTTTCTTTTATACAACTTTTTTCAGGTATTCAGCAATAACATGCTCTGTTGCAGCAGTCTCCTACCCTCAATCATACCCTTTTTAAGGTAAAAATAGAATTCTTTTTACTTTAAAATTAATATAACTAAGACATAACTGTACTAACTAAACTACAAAATAGCATCGGAGAAATTACATCTTTTCTTTTTTGTTAGTTCCTTATCCCACTGCTGCTCACTATGTAAGTAAACAGAATTGACCTTACAAAGAAACCATGACAAGGGGTAGGAAGGAAGCCTTTACAGCTTCCTTCTAAGCAGGCTTCATCCAGCACTGAGGCTCTGTAGGGGAATAGGTACATTACTTTGTTTAGGTGTGGGGTTATATCCCTTATTGCAATTGTGTGGACAATGGAAGAACATTGCAGTTAATCATTTCTTCTCATAGAGCCCCTTCTGCTAACCTGCCCTCTGGTTCTACTTGCAGTGCCTGGCATCAGAAATTCTAGCTTTAACAGACCTAAACCTAGCAGCAATTGTCTTCTTGTTTAGAGCCACTCCAGAGTTCTGTATAAATAATTTAAACCAAATGGCATTTGTCATAGTAGAACAAAGTAAGTTTTGTGATGGATTCTTGGATGGGTGTATTTTTAATCTTGTACACTCTCTTCCTTGCTGCTTAGGATCATAGAATTATTAAGGTGGGAAGCGTCATTTAAGATCACCTAGTTCAACCATCACCCCATCTCCCCATGCCCACTGATCATGTCCCCCAGAGCCACATCTCCACATTTTTTGACCTCCAGGATGATAACACCAGCACCTCCCTGGGCAGCCTGTGCCAATACCTGACTACTCCTTCTGAGCATAAATTTTTCCTAATATCCAACCTGAACCTCTTCTGGTGCTATTTATGACTATTCCTTCTCATCCTGTCATAGATTAACAAAGGTGTGGTACAGAAGATATCCTTAGCTAAAACCAACAGTGCTCTACTGTGCTGCTTGTCTGCTTTGCCAAAGAACACTTTTAATTGCGTGAAAGTTTTTTGGGATGTATGAGCTGAGATTACCAGTGTGCTGCTCCTTGACTAGGAAGCTGAGCATTCATTTGGTGTGTCTGTAGGTGGGAAGTTGCTCCACGAGAAGGAGAGCTTTCATTTCCTGGGTGGGAGGAGTTTCCTATCTTCAGTCTGTCGTAAGATATGACTCTGATGGAGATTTACACCACTCAGCATAAATGATTGCTGATTTAAGTGCTGGTCTTGTCAACGCGTGGGTTTTAAGAAGCCATTCCACCAAGCTTAAGTGATGAAGACCTGTGAGCAAAGGACAGTCTGTGATTAACAAAGACAGTTAAAGGCTGAGGAGTCGCATCAGTCTGCCAGCTCACCTGCACAACTTCTGTTAGTGAGGCTGTAGCATGAGTCTAATCAGAGCTGCAATTTGGGAACATAATTGAGACCTTAGCAGAAGTTCCATGAATCAGATGAATGTCCAGTTCTGCTGAGCTGCCTGCTTCTAGTAATCTGCTGAACTGGTGTGGCAGCATGCATCCCTAGAGCAGGGAGATGATGAGAAGAGAGGGTATAGCACTTTCAGCTTTATACCAACTTTGTAAGGCCTTTATAAGGGAATAAGCAACTCTTTGGTTTGTCAGAGTTAAGCACTGGGGAGCAGCAGGGTGGACTTTATCATAGTAAAGAGGGAGGCGTGTTTCCAAAGTGATGTGAGGAGAGGGCAGAGTTCTGTGTCTCAGGGTGGTGCAGATCAGATGCCTGGGTTGGGTGTGAGCACAGGAGCCACATCTACCTGCAATGAGGAAATAGCCACGTGCACCCAACTGGAAGGGGCCAGGCAGGCTGAGTAGGTAGCAAGGAAAGCAGGAGCATGTTGAAGCAGAGGTGCTTGGGCTGCACATGAATGTGTTCACAGTGGGCTGCTGCTGGGGAACAGGATCTAGGATGCCTGCATCACTCCGCCTCCCATTCTTGGTGTGCTAAAGATCAGTTTCACCTTTTCTGTGCCTATTTCCCCAGCAGAAAACCTGGAGAATGAAGCTCTCTGCAGAGTAAGCAAATGGTTATTCCCATAAGCAGTAACCGACTTCCATATAAAGCTGTGCGGTGCAAGAGCTGTGCAATATTACTGGTCTTAGCAGTCCTAGAACTCCTAAGCAATCCCAGGATAACAAAGCAGCGTGAAGGCATACTGGATCTAATAGGAAAGGGTCTTTGCAGTCCAAGACTTCCTACGGGTCACTTTATAACTTAAAAATTGGGGAACGCAGCTGGACTGTGCCAACTCTATAAAGTTCCTACAATGACTTCCCATGTTTGTCAGCTTACTATCTGAAGTGCTGCTGGGGAGTGACAGCTGCTCTGAAAAGGGTGACAGACAAAGTCGGCAGCAGAGTGAAGACAAAAAGCACTACTTGGATTTGCGTCACGGAGAAAGGTCATGGAAAGGCTGTAAAGTGAGAATCCCATTGTAATGCTGTGCTTCTCAGTCTTTGTCTCAGTAACACTGGAGATATGAAGGCGGGAAACCATATTCTGCAGAAGTCGCAAATGACTGTGGGGCAGTAGTGTGCTTCCCGTAAGAGAGAGGAGGGGAAAGGACCACTTCAGGGAAGAAATCTTATGTCTATTTTCAAAATATCCACGTTCCATCCCCTCACCTGGCTCTGCTCCCCTCACAATCCTCTTTCTTTTTGGACTTCTTCCCCGAAGCTCTCTGACACCAAGGCTCTCTGACACCAAGTGGCATAACTGGCACCCCCATCATCAGGTTGCTTTTAAGAGTTGAGGCTCATGGAAGACTTTAGAGAGCCCTTTCCATTGCCAAAAGGAGAAAGCCAGGCTGCAAAAAGGCCGCTGCCTTTGATGGCCACAGAGACAGACAGACAAGGTTCTCTTCTGCAAGGAAATAGTTCCTCCTTCAAATAAACCCCAAGCAAAGTGGAGGTCTCAATTAGTGCTTGAGCAAGGGCTCGAGGCATTCCCCAGCATGGATGTTATGCAAGGGTCAGGTTCTGCCACCCTGATTCCTGTTCCTCCCCGAAACTGCAGACATTTAGGCACATACCTCAAATACAGGACCAGTCCCACCTACTGCACTGCTCTGCCCCGAAGTGCCAGAGCTGGCAGCCCTGCACTCACAGGCACTGACACCTGCTGCTCCTGGGGTCGCCCAGCAGTGGGAGCATCAGCCCAGCAGCGATGTGCCCGTCATGCAGATCTTAGCTCCATCTCTGCCTTCATACAGAATCTTCAGGTGAGCCAGGCAGCGCTGCTGTGCAGTTAACCTGTTGCATTTTTGGACTGCTCATTTTTGCTAAATCAGTGAGCAGAACACATTTTTTCCTAAGTCCAGTGGGATTCCCAAAGGCAGTTTGTGGTTTGGAAGCTCTTGGAAATCACCACACTGCACATCCATTCTCTGCACCCAGACTCCCAGTCCCACTCATCCCCATCACACAAACTCTTGTAAGGAAATTCAGGGCTGGGGTGTCTGAGAAAGTAGACAGCTCTGGTCGTGTACCCTCTGTGAGCTCCCTGTCTGCCCAGCCTGGATTCCTGTGGTGATGCTTTCCATCCCTAAGGCATGGGAATGGGCATCTGCAGCCACAGCACAGGTACTGCTTCCAAGTGCTGTAGTGAGAGAAAAAGGACCGTGGGGCCAGAGAGATGGGGCAGGATGAGCTGCAAAGAGGAGCGGGGCTGCGGTGCTGCCCCACATTCCTGTCTGCATGGGCTGCAAGGCGGGGTGGGTGTGTTAGCAGCCTCCTCCGCACGGCTCTCCCACTGCTGCCCTCTGCCACAGCCAGTCCCTCTTTGAAGATGCTTGCCGGAAGGCCAGCTCTGGACCAACTGCATATTTAGGAAAGGGGCTCATCCCTTAATCTGCTGGGATTAGACAAGGAGCCCAAGCTACTCCCTGGAATGTAGGTGGTGTAAGCAGGTGTTTTGCAAACCCCAGCATCAACAGCAACCCATCCCTGGGAGAGAAAGCCAGCACTGCCCTTGCTGTGGCCACACTGCAAATGTCACACCACAGCTCGAGACCCCAGGCCCATGACCCCACTTGTGCTGGTGACTGTGAGTCATTCCCCAGGTTCAGACGCACTTCCAGACAAGGAGCTGCATCATTTTGCTCTCAGAAAAGCAAGAAATTGAAGGGAGAGCAAAGAGACTCAGACAGTATTTCATTGCAATAATTTAACAGTACATTCCTCAAGAAGTTCAGTTGGGTTTGTAGCTTTTCCTGCCCACCTGCCTTCCTCTTGGATCCAGTCTCCTGTGCAGGGGGTGCATGCTGCTGTCCGTCAGTCGCTCTCACTGCCAGCTTGGTGGGATGCTGCCCGGCGGCTGCGCTGTGGTTTAAGGCATGCAGCCAGCGGCGCCCGGCCTGCAGGCGGTAGAGCCTTGCTGGCTGAGGACACACTACGGGCCAGGGGCTGCGTGGGGAACATAATCGTGCCCCGGGGCGCCTGCAGGAGCTGCCAGATCTCCCCGGAGGTGCTACTGCCCAGGTACTCCCAGGGCCGGCGCCCGCTGCCATCCCGCACCTGTACCTGGCAGCCCAGCTGCAGCACCAACACCTTGATGACGAGCGTGTGGCCATGTATGGCAGCCAGGTGCAATGGAGTGTACCCGCAGCCGGATCGAGCGTCCACGTCCAATGCCAGCCCAGCCTGGCGTGCTGCTTTGGCCAGCTCCTGCAGGCCTGGCCCATCACCGTGCTTGGCCAGCCAGTGCAGCACCGTGAAGCCCGACACGAAGTCCCGCTGCAGGGCCAGCTCTGGCTCCTCCAGGAAAAGTCCCCGCACTTGGGCCCAGCGCCCCGCTGACACTGCCACCAGCCAAGCGTGCGCCCGCCGACCCAGTGGCACCGTCGGCCCCCGGCTTGGGACATGTGTGGATGAGCTCCTCTGGGGCACTGCACGGAGAGGTCTCCCTCTGTCATCAGACACCTCCAGCATAGCAAGTTGGCACCTGATGCTGCGGAAGACAGGTATTGGGGCTGGGGGGGTGCTAGCTGGTGGCCCCTGGGGGTCTGATGCTGGCAGCACAGACCGGGACAGGAGTGGACTGGCAGGAAGGGGCTGGGAGCAGGGGGGCTGCCCCCCAGGGCCTGCTGGCTGTGGCAGGGCTGGAGGTGAGTGGGGCCCTGCAGCGTGCAGCAGCGTGGCTCGAGGTCGCACTGGGCCGTTGGGGGTCCGTACCTTGGGCCCCTCTCGTGAGGATGGGGGGAGCCTGGTGGAAAGCGTCTGAAGGGACCTGGACAGGGGCAGCGGGAGTGCATCCGGGCCTGATAAAAGCAGTGATGGGGACGAGTTGTGTCCGGCAGTGAGAGTCTGCAGGGACCGGGACTGCGAGAGGGGCGGCATCTCTGGGGCTGAGAGCAGCGGCAGGGACTCGGCAGGGGATGGCTCCGGGACGGACGGCTGTGGGGACCGGGCTCGAGGCGGCCCGCCGAGGGGCAGCACCCTGGGGCCCGCTGACAACAGAGGGGACCGGGCTGGGAGTAGCCCTCTGGGGCCAGGAGGTGGCAGGGACCCGACAGAGGCAGACCCGACGGGAGGCGGCGGCCGCTGCGGGCACCGGGACGGGGACGGGGACGGTCCGGCGGAGAGCGGCTGCGGCGCCCGGTACGGGGGCGGCCCCTGGAGGTTCCGATAGGGGGGCGGCGGGGCGGCGGTGGCGGCATCGCGGAGCGCCCGGCGGCACTCGAGGCAGAGCCCGCCGCGGCCCCGGGCAGCGCAGCCCGCAGCGGCGGCCGCTCCGCCGTGCTGCCCCCCGCCCGTCCGCCCCTTCCCCGGGGGGTCGCGCCGCCGGCAGGGATCGCAGCGGGGCGGCGGGGACGGCTGCTTCTCCTCCTCCTTCTTCTCCTCCGGCTCTTCTTCCTGCGGCGGCAGCTCCTCGTCGAGGAGGTCGCGGTACCTGCGGCGGAGCACGATGTCCTTGGAGGTGCCGGCGGCCGCGGGTTGCACGGTGGCCACGGCATTGACCAGGCGCTTGAACAGCTCGCGGCGCTCCCCACGCTGCGCGTCCGTCAGCGCCGGGTCGCGGAGGAAGCCCTGGAAGTGGCGGAGCAGCGCCGCGTTGGGGGCTCGGCCCCCCGCCGCCCAGAGGAAGTCCAGCACAGCCTCCTGGCTCAGCTCCCGCGCCATGCTCCGGCCGCTCGGTGCTGCGCCGCGCCGGGAACCCGCCTCCGCCGTGCCCGGCCTCTGCGCCTCTCCGCCTCCCGCGCCTTTGCCCCGGGTGGCGGCCGGGGACGGCGGCGAGGGAGTGGGGATGGGCGCAGCGCCGCGGAGGCGATCATGTACCGCTCATAGAATCATACGGTCATCGAATCACGAAGGTTGGAAAAGACCTCTGAGGTCGTCGAGTCCAACTGTCAACCCATCCCCACCGTGTCTATTAACCATGTCCCTCAGTGCCTCACCTACGCGTTTCCTGAACACCTCCAGAGATGATGACTGCATCACTTCCCTGGGTGTCTGTCACAGCTGAAAAGCGTGGGTGAGGTCAGTGCCTTGGTGGGCACCAACCAAGTGATAGCCGCACAGCTGCAAGGAGTTTGTAGCATGAGTAGCGTGGGAGAGGGTGTGCTGTGTTTTCTGTCTTGCACTCAGGGAATGGGGGCACAGAGGAGCTGAGCTCACCAGACACTTGCTGCTGAAGGTCAGTAGAAGTCCTCTCTCCTGCAGGCTCCTGGATGACCATAAGGATGTATGTTGCTCCGAAAGTAATGCCTCCTTTTTATTTCCATGGAATCATCAACAGATACAAAGAGTACAATATCATGATTTGGTGGAATGAATTCTGAGCTACAAAACACTGTTTTTCAACATAGAATCATAGAATCACCAAGGTTGGAAAAGACCCCCAAGATCATCCAGTCCACCTGTGTACCTATCATCAATATTTCCCACTAAAGCATGTCCCTCAGAACAACATCAAAATGTTCAGTGACTCCACCACCTCCCTGGGATAGTCACCACTGTCAGTGATAAACATGAACCTGCATGCCATGCTCTCAAAAATCTGTACCAGCAGAAGTCATCCACTGTTTCACAGTTCCTATGTTGGCATTCTAGGAAACTGTTGCCCGCTTGGTCCATCTTTTATTGGCCTGAACAAATAGAAGTCAGAATGTGCCAAATCCAGACTATACAGTGGGTATGGTAGGACCTTTCAGCCAAGATTGTCACTGTCTTGAAACTGGTATGGGGCCTAGTGTTACCATGCTGCAAGAGAAAGGTTGCCCTCTTCTCTGGCCTGCCTGGCCCTCAGCTTAGTCAGCACTGCAATGCAGTAGTCATAGCTGATGAATTGCCCGGTTTTCAAGGAAGCCAGAAGGACGGGCCCTGTGCTGTCCCACCAGACAGTGCACGTCACTTCACCTGCTGAGGGCTGCTTTGTGAACTTTTTCTTCCATGGGGAATTCAAATGTTGCCACTCCTCGGACTGCCATTTTGATGCCAGCTCATAGTGGTGACACCATGTCTCATCACCGGTAATGATGTGATTGAGGGAACTGTCACCTTCAGCCCCGCGTTTGTTCAGTTGGTCCTGGTAAACATGCATATGGTGTGAGCATCTGTGGGACCCATCTGGAACAAACTTTGTGGTATTCCAACATTGCTGCCATCATTTCCAATGCACTGAAACTAATATTCAGTGCAGTGCACAGTTCCCTGGTCACAATCCACCAATCAGTGTGGATGAGCTGATTGAGATGCTGTTCATTTCATGGTGTGGTGGTGTTACATGTCTGCCTGGAGTGCGGCTTGTCTTTCACAGCACTGTTGCCACTGCTGAAATGCACCACCCACTGCCTCACCTCACTCACCTTGCTGACATCCACTGGTAGGTCTCCATCAGTGTTCATCAAACATCGATGAATGGAAGGGTTCAGTGGCCTTTGCTTCATACACACATCTATGTCTAGGTAACACTGGTGGTCGCAGGAACAGATCTGTGCATGGTACTGCTCTCAAGTAACAGAGCTTGGCAGGTCTGTGCTTTTGGATTGCTAACTTGAAGTTGTGTTAGTTTCTGCTTCAGGCTGGTTTGCCTGATAAATTGCCCTGTGATGTTGCAGGACTGCTAAAATGTAGCCTCTGCAATATAGAGAACAGCCCTGAAAGAAACTTTTTAGATTAGAAGTTACAGTTTTGCTTCCATGCTGTTCTGCATTCTGCTTTTGGTTTTTGGTGTGGCACAGTGCAAGAGTGTAGCTGCATCCCATCAGCAACATTCAGCTGGCTAAGAAAGGGGTGCTGGGAGAAGGGACGTCTGAGAAGCCAGTATTTGATTGCTCTGCACTTGCTTTTGGCACAGTCCTCCAAGGCACCTTTCTTCCCATTGCTTGCACGCACACCTGGTGTATGATAGCAGCATGCCCTCAGCAGCAGCAGAGAGGAAACGTGTGGAGCATAATGACATAATTGTGATTTCAAACAAGAAAACAGGGTAGATCAGGGAGATAAAAAGTTTAAGTAAATAACAGCAATAATGACAGCATTGCTATGAAAATGTTGTTTGGTTTAATGAACTGCAGTGTAAGCAGGAGGTGTCTTACAGCTTTCTCTGGTATGATATTCTCATCTAAACAACACTGCCAAGCATGACCTTGCTTACAATGACAACTGGAGGGCTTTCCCCCCAAGAAACACAACCTTTGCCCTGTAAGACTTTTGCTTGGTGGAAGTTGGTGGAATGCACTCAGATACCATTAAGTGACTATTAAAGTATCTGCAGGACCAAGACCAAGACTGTAAGTTGATCACTTTCAACTGTGAGTGGGAGCTTTCAGCATGGCTGAGTTTCATAGAATTATGAAGATTGGAAAAGACCTCTAAGACCACCACATCTAGCCAGCAGTCTTTCCCCACTGTGCCCACTGACCACATCCCTCAGTGCCACCTTTCCAAGGTTCTTGAACACCTCGAGGAACAGTAACACCACCACCTCCCTGGGCTGCTTGTGACAATGCATCATCACTCTTCTGGGGAATAATTTTTTCCTAACACTCAACCTGAACCTCCCATGAGGCAACTGAAGGCCATTCTCTCTCATCCTATCACTGCTACCTGGGAGAAGAGGCCAACTCCCACCTCACCACAAACCTTCCAGGCAGTTGTATAGAGCCATAAGGTCTCCCCTGAGTCTCTTCTTCTCCAAACTGAACAACCTCAGTTCTGGCTGCTCCCATGAGATCTGTGCTCCAATCCCTTCATGGCTCTGTTGCCCTGCTCTGGACACATTCCAGGTCCTCAGTATCTTTCCCTCCATATTGCCCTTTTTGAGGGTTCTGAACAGAGTGGGTCTTTTTGTTCTTCAGGGGATGTTGGTGTAAGTTGTGAATAGTACCAGTCACAAAATAGGGGCAGGAAGAAGCAGTATTTTGGCACAAAGAGAAAACAAGCTCACTGTTCAGTGTTGTAGCCTTCTGTTGTGAAAGAAGACATTTTCTTTAGGGAGCCATACACCTGTGGTTGATTTCAACCAGGAGGAAAGTTAACCTCTGCTCTGTGTTCACCTGTGTATTTTCACATCCCCTGCAATCCTAACAAATTACCCCACAGCTGGCATGCACAGTTGGGAAGGCAATGACATGTTACTGCTTCAAAATGGTGCAAAAGAGCTTTGGAAAAATGCAGTCAGTCCCCGTAGGGTCTCTGGAATGAAAGATCACAATTCCTTTTGCATGAGGACAGATTTGTTCACAGCAGTGAACTTTTAAGAATGAGGAACTCATTCTTTTAAGAACGAGGAATGTGGGGAACTACAGTAGCTGAGATCTAGGCAGAGTGCAGCGTGTTTCCTTGTCCTGCTGGATTTGGTTCCCTGCTCTTTCAGGGCGAGCTGCCATACCCAGGGAGGTCTGTACGCAGGCACTGGGGAGGGAACCCGGCCGCAGCATCTTTGCTAGCGGTGACAGCACCTGGGCTCAATTAAGGGCTGTAACGCCCTTCACGTGTGCATGGAATCAGCCTTTGGAGCCTTCTGGGGTTTGATCCCTATGCTCGAAGCCCCGTTTCCTCATGCAGAAAGCGCGCAGCACCCAGACCTCGCCTCGTCGCCGGCCCTACGGGCTCCCCCCGGCCGAGGCGGGGCGGGGAGGGGCCGGGGCGGGGCGGGAGCTGGCCCGCCCCGCCGGGTGGCCATGTTGCAGCCCCAGCAGCAGGCGGCGGGGAGCGCGGCGATGGCTGTGGCCGTGGGCAGAGCGGCGGTGGGTGCGGGCTGCGGGGAGCTGTGGGGGGAGCGGGCTGCGTTGCGCGGCCGTGCGGGGGGACGCGTTGCGCGGCCCGAGCGCTTCTGGATTGCCGGGCGGCGGGTTGGTGGTCTGCCGTTCGTTCGTTCGTTCATTCGTTCGCGTTCGTTCATTCGTTCGTTTTATTGATTTATACCCGTGCTCGGAGAGACAAAAGGGTTCGCTTTTGTAGGGTGAAGGGAGGAAAATAATCGGCACTAAAACTCTTACGGTCTGATGCGGGAAAAAAAAGGAGTCTGAGCGCTCCGCTTAGCAGAAGCGCGAGTGGAGCTCCGCCGCGCCCCGCTGGAGGGAGGGATGCGCTCCTGTGCGCTGTCGGCCGGCGGAGGGAAAGAAGGAGGGGGCTCGGCCCACCCGCCTGCAACTTTCTCAGTGCCTGCGAGTGGAGCAGATGGGGCTGAGGGCTGGAATGCGGCCCCTCGTGCCGCGTGTGGGATGTGAGTGGGGTGGGGTGAGGTGAGGAGGTCTCCTTTTAGATTTGTTTCTGGACCTGCCGGACTGTTGCTGTTCTTGGTGTTTTTACTGTGTTCATTTCTCCTTCATTCTGTTCAATTTCTGCTCATCCTCTTGTGTTTTGGTGGGCCGTGGTCCCCAGCAATCCCAAAACAGCATTCCCTGCAGCCTGTGTGGTGGTTTCGCTGTGTGCATCCTGGCTGTGGAGGGTATCTGTCAGCGTTAGAGCCATGTGCATGTGGCAGGGGGGCTGAAGGGCTTCTTCCAAACAGCTTCTGGGTGGACCACGCATCATAAAATCATTAAGGCTAGAAAAGACCTCTAAGATCATCCAGTCCAACCATCAACCCAACCTCACTATGCCCACTAACCACATCCCTCAGTACTATGTTTCTTGAACACCTCTATCCTCCAGAGTTGATGCTTTTAAAGGTGTTTTTCCCTGGGGGAACAAGAGATGAAGGAAGGTGGGCTGATATTTGGTAGGTGCTGGAAGCTTATCTCATATCCCTTCTTATCTAATCTATTCTGCTGCCTCTTTGCATGCTGCTGTGTTGTTAGGGAGGTGGTAGGTAGGCTGGGGAAATAATTACATAGTGAAGCTGATGGGCATTTGCCTTTTCAAGCTCTTAATGAGCATAACTTATAAGGTCACAGAGCAGTACCCTTTGTTGGGGACAGGGTTGATGGTAGGGGGAAAGAAAGGAGAAAGAATGGATCAAGAAGTGAGTTGGTTTGATTTCTTAAAACTGAGATAACATTCCCAAGTCATAATCTTCCCCATTCTGATGGGGTACAACGTTATGTTAATTGTAAAAGTATGCATAAAAAATAACTTCCTTGAGCTGCTCTGAAGTGTCTGTGCTTAATTGTAGTTAAGTAGGGTGTGTTTCGGTGGGATGGGTGGCTTTCATTTTAAGGCCCCAATCCCACAGATGTGAATGCACATGTATATCATACTGCCTGTAATTTTGTTGACTTAATAGAAGCTGATCTCAGTATGTGAATGTAAAGGTGTGCATAAGCAGAACTTTTGCAGGATTGGTGCCAGGAGCTGCCTGGCACCTTACAGCTGATGAAAGCCATGTGTATGCTTGCACATTCATCTGAGTGGCAGTGTGCATATGATCATCTGCTCTGGCTCTGTCAGAGATTATCCACTTCTATCCCCTTAGATAGAGAACCGTCCTTCTCTTGGGCTAATTCTAAGCATCTTGATCAGTTCTGGATGGTATCTCAGCAGTTCAAAGTGTGGAAGAGGGCTCTTGCTTCCCTCCCCTATTCTTTATTTGTTTATTCTAAATGTTTACAGAATTGTAGCCTGGGCTGGCTGAAGGAGCAACACTAACATAAACATACATGTACTATTACCTCTACATCCTGCAAGTCAAACAGAGTGATGGAAGATGAAGCTAGAATGCAAATTTTTTGGAGCGGCCATGGAGGGTTTTATCCAAGAGAAAAGAAACAGCACAGTGCACTCCTCAATCTGTTTTGGAAATTCTTTACAATGAGAGATTGCCAGTTTCCGTGGAGGGGTGGGAATGAAAAAGCAAAAGGTACAGGGGGGCTGATGGAGCTGAAAAATTGGTGGATTTTGGCTTTTGCTGTGGGACAACACATATTCAGAAAGCCACTTCCATGTGTGCTGAAGGATGGAGCAGAGTCACCAGGCCCCCTGTTTTTTGATGGTGAAATGAGGGACAAAAATGGTGATTTTCATCTTTGGGGGTGTTTGTGTGCTTGTCTAAAGGTTCTTGCTGATGAAGGTGGGTGTGAGAGATGTTGGGGATGAGATGGGCGGTGGGTGGAGATCCATGGAAGAACCTTCTCTTCATAAGGCATTGGAAGAGGCTGCTTGGAGAAGTAGTGGAGTCGTTGTCCATGGAGATGTTCAAGAATCATGTGGATGTGACATTCAGGTTTAGTGGGCATGCTGGTGATGGATTAATGGTTGGACTAGATGATCTTAGTGGTCTTTTCCAACCTTGATGATTCTATGACTGTGTTGCTGAGATCATGAGGAATTGGTTTCAGTGTCTGAGTAATGCTCTGAAATGATACATATTGATTAAGCAGCATGCATCTGACAAGTGAAATACTTACTCATCGCTGAAGCTTTGTGCCCCCTTCCCATCCTCCCAGCTTCCAGGAAAGATGGATGGCTGTCCTGGCTGCCCACTCCAAGGCTGTTTGAGGCTTTGGTGTGCTGCCCCTTCTCTGGAGTTTGCACTGAGCGTAGGCACAAAGCTGTGTGGCAGCTTGTGGCTCTCCTTGCAGGAGTGATGCAGAAGCGGACAGGGCCTTATCCTGGTTTCTGCTTTGTCTGGCCTCACTGGCTTGGTTTGGCTCCAGTCTCTCGTCCCTGTAAGCTGCAGTACCTCTTGCAGGAGTACACAGCAAAGCAATTTCATCTCAGAGCCATTGGGTATGACCAGGTGATTTAAAATAAACAAATGCTGCAACAGTTCTTCAAGCTTTTTTTAGTACAGTTTCCAGCTCTCTGAACAGCTCTCCAGCCTGCTGTACGAAGTGATGCGTGATAATGGCTCAAACAAACACAACAGTGCTGTTGGCATTCAGTGCTAACGTTGGTCAAGAGTGCTCCCGATCAGAAACAGAAAACCAAATGCAGGGTCTTAGTGAAGGGCAGTAATGCTAATAAAAAACTTGCTCTGAAGGTCCCTTCTTTTTCCCAGTAAAGACTTACTGCTGCTTCACTAGCACAGTTGTGCTGTACTCTGTGATTGATAAGGAGTCCCAGAGATAGCTTGGGTCTTATTTAAAAAGAGAGGCTGCTCTTGACTCTGGAGAAGTGACTGGGTGACTTAGGAGCTGAACCTGCACCAAATGCTCCTGAAATTCTGGAGAAGCTGAATCTTTTCCTTGTAGGTTTAGGTTTTTGTGTTCCTTAGTGTTGTCCCATGTAAGGCAATAGCAAAAAGCAGACTGCTGTTAAGTTTATATAGTATGAAATTTATTTGTTTGCTTGTAGCTTCTTTAGATATTTGTATTATCAAAGTGAACCTTCTGTTACTGCTTCTGCATCCAGGGTTTATTTTTGGACGGCATCTAGCTGTTTAAAATAGCTTAATGAAATACTGTGACTGCAGGTAATTTCTTTACCAGATCAGGTCATGAATACTAGGCAAAAGCTGATAGGAAAAGGCTTGTTAGGGTGTTTTGGTTTTGCCACAGATGTTGCCTTTTTTGCCAGTGGCTCCTGAGAGCTGATTCCTATGAAAACAGTAGCTGAAAAAAAGGATTGTTGCTGGAGATCTGCATGCATTTCATCTATTTCACTCAGGAATTATCATAACCTCTTCCACATGATGGGTGTGGAAGAGGAGAAGCAATGTTTTGACTCCTGAGGGAAATCTGTTAGTGATCTTCAGGACTCACCTGTTTGGATCTGAAGATGTTCTGCAGTCCGTGGGCGGTGTGCTGGGAGGTTATCTGAGTGCAGCATGAAGCTGGTTACCCTTTGCAAGCAAGGGAGGCTGCTGACTGTTTGCCAGATGCACACTAACTGCACCAAGTGTGCCAATCACTTTCCCTGAGCACTTGTGCATGGTTTGAATGAAGCTGATAGCAGGTCGCGAAATGGGAGTGGATGAGTTGGTAAATAGCTTGCTTGGCTTGCTCAGTGACAGTGCAAGCTGTATTTCCTCCTTTTGCTGGAGTGCACAGCGAGTGATTCCCAGCAAGGTACAGGAGCATAGGCTACAATGGAGATAGAACTACAAATCTGCTTTTGTACTTTCAGGTAGAGTTTACCAACAGCCGAATCTTTGCGTTTTGAGGCATGCAAATCATTTCCTTTCAACTCTGAAGACCTATCAGCCCAGGGCTGATTCAGTCTGCTTTTCACTGACATTTGTTCTTGGCGTGTGTCTGTAATAATGTGCGTTACCCCCAATCCTTCAGAGCCATGTAGGAAACACTCAGAGTTGTGTACAAATGTCCTAGGTTGTCCTTTTCTTGCTTCTGCATATGACTAAAAATTTGTTCTCCATTGTCTCTTCTTGTATTAATCAGTAGAATCAGGTCTCTGACATATCTGTGAAGTGAGCTTACTTAGAAGCAACCTAATTTGAAATGGTGTCAAGACAAATTTTTCAGACATTGCTGATAAGTGACTGGAAACAGTTCTTTTATTACCACCTTCTGTGGCTAAAAGGTGAGGTGGTCATGCTGTGAGCAGGGATAGTGCAAGTTGTAAGCACCAGCGGTGACTGGGGCTTGAAATAGCTGCCTGAAACTGAATATACATACAGTCCTCAAATCTTTGTTAATACCCCAAAAGGACTGAAGATTTTGCCAGATCCTCTGGAGGCCTGCTACGGTGGTAAATCACACCACTTAACCACTGCATCTATAGGTTTCTTCTTTCTCTTCCTCCAGACTTATTTCAAGTCCACGCTAAGCAGTGGTAGTTCTCATTGTGCCTTGATCAGTCCCAGGGATCTGAGCTCTAAGGTGTGTGTGTGTGTGTGCGTGCATGC